GAAAGCTGTTTTACCACTTCTCAACATTATAACCTAATTTTATAGAGAGTAGAAAACATGATTTTACGTACACATGTGGCTGGCCTAATGTGAGACTCCTGAATTTATCAGATTGTTTAATAAAAAAACCCCTCTGCTGTGTTGGACACAGATATGGGATTGCTAATCACATTACGTCAGTGGCACTCTCAGGGCTCAAAGGTGAGGGTCGATCCAAAAATAAGGAAACCCTACAAAATGGGATTGAAAGAAAAATAACCACAGGTAAGACGAAAGATGTTGAGGACCAAGCCAAAAATAAGTACACTCGATTTAGGATTAAGTTGAAAGCATGAAGAGAAAGATCTCCCAACGCCTCCTACGACAAGCTGGGGCTAGCTATTCTATTCTAACCCGGGAAACCGTACGTGGGCATATTCGTACGTTTATATTTTATATAACTTATAACAGACATAATACAAGGAGTTTAGAGAGAGTTTCCTATCTTCATATAATTTATGATACAATGAGAAACTTTATGTTACTGCCATTTGAGAGAAGTTTTATTAAATTGCCTAGTATGAAAAATTTGAGATTTTATATGCAAGATAAAGTAAAACAATAATTTATTTAATTTAATTAATTCAACCAATACGTTAACATCAACTTCGTAGGCTTCTATTGTCGTGGTTCTATGAAGGAACTATCACGATACATCATTAAATGCAAATTCAGTTCTGGATGAAGTTATCAGTTATAAGTTATCAGTAGCTTTTACCACAAAGGGTAATTCTGCACTTTAGCTGATAAACTCTGCCTGTGTTATCGTTACAATACACGTTTGGTGACTATAAATGGTGTATTGTCCATTGTGCTCTTGTCGAGATAACTGCACAATGTTTAATCTCTTCTCAAAAGGAGAATACATTTTGATTTAAAATTTTAAATCATGTCAAAAATGAATATTTAGCAAATTTAGCGAATATTTTGTTGGAATGTAGTTGTAACCGAATAATTCTTGAAAATCTGAGCTTTTAAATTCCAGTTCCTATTTTTTAAGAGTTCTTCAGAGCATTCATTTTAGTAGGCAATACCAGAACTGAACGCTGTATAATGTTAAGACCCCCTGGGACCATGGATTGTTGTTGACAACTGAGATATGTTTTAGAATTATTAGATAAGTTAAGTTTAAAATTTTTTTAAACTTTTTTATGACATCCTAAACGTTTTTAATTTACAAAAAAATGATTGTGTAAGCTATGATGACTTACTGGCTGATGTCATTAAAGATTACTTAATTGATCAGTAAAATTTGTTGCAGCACTTAATAAATCAGAGTAATTATTTGGGATGATTTTTCTGGTAGTTTTAAGCTACTAAATCTAGAGGGGTTCTGTGGAGGTTTTAATAGGTAGGCTATACATATTGAAAAATATTTTGATCATATCCACTAATGTAGGGATATCTAACCCAATTCATTTCCTTATAATCAGTAAGATTTTAAACCTAGACTTGAGGGAAAAGGGTACAATTTTTTACCCTTACACCGACCGTTCTTCACTACCTAATAACAAATCGTAGATGTACCAGATTCTGTTTATAATTCTAGAAAGTAGTTTTTTGTTTTAAACATTAAAAAACAACAATTAATTAGTTATTCATTTCCTTCAAATTATCTGGATTATGGTTTTAAAAATAAATTTCTTACTTCGTCGTGAAGGTAAAACAATAAGAATAATGTTTGATAACCACCTTTCTATTGGACATTTATCAATAACACGTACAAAAGAACTTTTGTTCCTCCAATATGACAGCGATGTGGTTTATGGTGCACAGAGAGCTTTGTTCGCAAAACATAATATTTTCACAATCCTAACATGTGTGCCGTAACCACATATTAAATGTTACATATTTTTCTCTCATATTGTACGATTACTTATTTTGAGAATAGATTCGTTTATACATTACTAATGTTTTCAGCAGGAATGTTATAAGTATTCTTTCAAAAAGCTACACCTCAAAACACTTGAGTATCAGGGTATCAGTGAAAGAAAAATATGGAATCCTTAAATTTCAAATAATATCAAACTTGTATACTGAAATATTTTGATATTGAAACAATATTTTAGATACATTAAATGTTCTGGAGTAATTCCCATATATTTTACTAATTGAATAAATTTGTTAATTTTTTTTATTAATTTTCCTTTTAATTGGCAACATTAATCTTTACTTACTAGTTATAGAAGATGCGCATAGAGAAGTTAATTTTAAGATATAAATTAAAAGGTATTTTCAAAGCCATATGCATTGAACCCCTCCTTCCCAAAAACAACAATCGAAAAACAGAGAAAAAACAAAAGCAGCAACTAACACGCGACAAACAATACAATTTGCTGAGTGATTGATGTTTTATGTGTAAAAACAAATACGTGTCCATATTATAATGCCTGCGGGGCGAACGTGTAAATGGACCTTTGAAAAAACAAAGATATGTAAAAATTGATTGGAATGGGATTTATGCTTGTAAAATATTACAGGATAAAAAATCTAAAATATGTAATGCAATTTGTGTGAAAGCCAGAGATTCCAGTGCTTGCCTTCAAATCTGATGTTATCTAGTTCGATTCCAAGCAAGTTAAATTAAATAATTGCCTGTTGCGTATAATAACAAGAAATCAAAAAATGAATACTCTCAAAGTAAACCTACTTAAAAGCGAATTTATAAGGCTTCTCTATTAAAAAGTATTAAAATCAAATAGCATTTGGAGTTCGGGATGACAAACTTGGTTACTGAACAAGTTTACAGAAATTCTTGACGAAAAAATTAAAAACATTTGAAACAGATATAGTTTTCTTCTTCATTTTTAAAACTCTTAAACTGGTTTTGCATGTTATGATTTTTGTTGTATTACACTTAAAACAAGCATTTTACAACATCTCAGCTAATAAAGCGCCTCAACTAGTCTCTTATTTTGCGTTAGTATTATCATCATTAGTATAACAAGTTACCTTCGTCATAAAGTATAATCAGTAATAAAACTATTATCTAGAAAATACTAGAAAAATACTTAATATAGGCCTATACAATAAATAGATAAATGAAGGCGTATCAACAAACAAATTGAAGACAATTTTAAATACATTATTTACTTTCAAAAAAACTTGTTATCTTATAGTTTATTTACCAATGTAGGCTGTTTACTTGGTTAACATAGGAAATACAATATGCAAACATAAGTAATTCTATTACATTGCCATTAATTACATTACATTACATTACATTCTATTACATTCTAGACATTGCCTTTTCACTGACTTTGATTACATGTGGTTTTTATGTAACGATATGAATTCTTTGCAAATAAAAATAATTACTAGTTGGTTTTCATAAGGTGTTCAAGGCATGAATTTGAGTTATTCTGTATTTAATTTAAGATTACATTAGATTGACCAATAGGAGTTTTGTCAATCATGTTTGAAGGAATGCTCTAGGATACCTGATGCAAGTGTATAAGATTACTTTCAGGTCGCATTCCACTACCTTGTGGTTTACCTCTTCATTCCAAGTGTCTCTGTGAACCTTTGAGGAAACCTATCCTTTAATCTTACACCCACACTAATGTAATGTTCCGAATGCGTTCAAAGTAAAATAAATCAATTTCAAATGGGCTTCGACTTGATTTATAACTAGAATCAGTTGAATAATCAGTTAGTAACAAAGACAAATATTAAACTTCCCTGACAAAGTTGGATTTTGAGTGATATCTGTTTTTAATCAACGCTCCTTAGCCTGTATTTACTCATGTATCGTATTTACTGTGTTGTCCCGTTCTTGTTGCTTGGAATCTATTGTATTGTTATTTTGTTCTGCTAGTTTACTTATTTATTTATTACATGCACGGCAAACACCATTTTACAAGAGAGTTGACATTGATAATTTAATGTGACTTAATGTGAAATAGTTGTTTTGTGAGCAATAATTAAATTATGGTATGAAATACGATAATAACACAGTTTTGATGAATAAATATGCATGATTCACAGGACGTAACAGCTAAACAGGCATGTTGCACGGAAAATAATATAAATAGACAATCTAAACAACAAAAACAAATGTTAATAGACCATTAAACAGCATTATAGAAATGAGAAACAGATTAATGACACTATTAACAAGACTGACACTACATGAACATTCTTCTGAGTACGGCACTCGTTTCGGACTTGGAGGAGACACTGCGGCCAAAGAAGTTGACGTCTTCGCAGATGCTGTTCCCTGTGCGCATCAGGTGAGGTACTGGACTGTGCTGAATGTAAGAGGTGGAGTAGTGATCTCTTTTAAACAATTGTTGATGTCTGGAATGACGAGGGATGTGGAAGTTGGTCGTTTTCAGCAGCTCAGGACAGTCCAATGGGCCATTTACTAGCTTGAAGAGGAATACTGCGTCCATCAACTGCTCTCTTCTAAGAAGCAACGGAGTTATTTTAAGTGAATCTTGAGGTTATCTTTATCACGTTTTTTGTCTTTAATACATTGTTGTCTCCAGTATTTTCACTACTTATGTACTGACCAGTTTTTTGTCACAAAGACATTCTGAATTTTCCTGTAAAATGGTGTATCCGTATATGAAAAAACCATGAAATTAATCATCATATAAAACAGCTAAAGACCTATTTCGATGTACCTTATGGAACCAGTTTCATTTTATCATGGGATACTATTGATACAAATACAGACAAAGAGAATGTTTGTCAAGTAAAAGGATAACTGTTTTGTTGCAAAAGAAAAATGCGAGTTCATTATAAAATCCGTCAAAATACCAAGCAAGGCTACATAGTTAAGTTTCTCTTTTGCTACATATCTAACGCAATTGGTGAGCAAATTGTGTTTCCAATTGTTCTGTTTCCAAATACGCAGATCACAATTTTTGCGGTGAGTCAGTACGCCTGCCTGTCTTTAAATTGGATAACCCACTGTCCAATTGCAGCACTAATTCATGTTAGTCAGTTCTACTACATCGCAACAACATGCTGCACTTTTCAGCGTTTGTCATTTGTGTATTTGCAGCCATTGTATGTAAGTAACTAAATACTTTTCATTAGCATTTGATGTGTGCGTACAATATACATGGTGTTTACCAAACTCTAAAACACCTTTTAAGGTGTCATTATGGACAAAAGTCGAACAAAAAAAAAATTTTCTATAACTCAAAAGTCACTTGTACAGCCACCATTTTGTTTTTCACAAAACTATTTCATAAAAGCTTTTTGTTCAGTAGATTATTATTCAGTACTTAAATAAATTTTAATTAAAGACCTATTTGGAAAAAAATTGTGTTTGTTTTTCAAATGGTGGCCATTTACAACTTTAAGACTTAAATTACACAAAGAATGCACCACCAAGCAAAACTATTGACGGTTCATTTTGTTTGGACAATATTTGTTACAATTCTAACGGTAAGAAACTCAAGAAAGTCGGTTCATAAAGAAGGGAGCAAACTTATTTTGTTTGTTAAAATTCTTTGTCTGTAGAACTGATACAACTAAGAACTACAAGACAACTATCAATATTTTTTATTTAGGTCTATTCTATACGTTTTAGTCATAACGTGCACCCTCTATAGAAAACCTTTTATTAAATACACATAGTTTAACCACTATAAACTAAGAATAATGGTCATTGACTATTACAGATCTTCAGTTTTCAAAAGTCATTGGTAATACAGAGTTTCTTAACCTTTTCAGACTCTCATGAACTATACAACGAGGGTATTGTATCAGATACAATGATTTTAAAAGACCATCGAGATCAAGGTATGTATCAATATTTACATTCTTATCCTTAAAAATTATTAGTTTTAAGAATTTATATAGTATTTTTTGTGGAAAAAATTGTTTATTTGTTCAAAGTTATTGTAAGATATAAATTACAAGATATGTAAATAATAAAAGATATGTTATACAATTAGGTAATATGACATTTTCAGTTTACTTAGTAGATTTTATTTAACACTATAAAATATAAGATTTAGGGAAAAGTAATTAAAACAGTATTGGATATATCATAGATGTAAAAAAAAATAATTGCAAATGTCTTTTTTGGTTTGGCATAAATCATTAAAATATACCAAACCGATTAATATGTTTAACACAAATATAAAAAATTTGTTTTATTCATTTCTCTTCAAAAGCATCACAATTCTTAAATTTAGCAGTAACTACTACTTAATAAAAAGTACGATAATAAGAACGATTTGGTTATTTTACTCAACAATTGTTAGCATATTAAGTAATCATTTAATGTTATCAAACCATTGGTTGTAATATTAAACAACCACTTCAGAAATATGGCTTAGGAATTGTATCAGTGGATTTTAAGATAAGCTACAAATTTTCTATGAAAATTAAATCCTAATTTTAGATATGAAAATTACCTTGGAGAACTTGTAGATTATTCTTTATGTTTTTTTTAAGGTAGTAGGAAATAAAGTGTTATATGTTTTCAATTTTTAATGTGTTTAACACCTGTAAAGATATGTTTTATATATTTTCGATAATTTTCATTTTCGTTAATTTGTTTGTAGCAAAAGTTACATTAAAATTTCTACGGCGGATGCCTACGAAAAACGAATACATCATGTTTCAAAAATATATTTCTTATAATGTTGTAGAAGACCCACATTGCACCCATCATATCCACAAGTTCTATCGTCATATGAAGTGTGAACCAGAAATATCTGCTGGAGCCAAGTGTCCAACAAGCTACAAATGTGGTGAGCTAAAACAGTGATATATACTATGAAATTTGTGTTATAAGCTTAACTTAACACCACTTATTTTTGCTTTCATTGAAAATAATGTTAAACACAACAATGAAATAGTTGTCCAAAATTTTACTTAGCAGTATAGTCACAGAGTGGATAAATGCCACGTTTCACAACAATGTTACCGCATGATGGTGTCAAAAACGAGCCTCATCGAGACGACAAGCACTTTGTATTTCATAAGTAACAACGCCTATTTGTTACCGTCCAGTTTCACCAATTTCTTTGTTTTACCGGGATTTTGTCATGTCAAAATATACATTTATGTAAGTGTGTTTATTGCTAAACATCGTGTTGTATTGCAACTAGTAGGAGGACATTTTAAAGGTACAAAATTGCATAGATTAAAAGGACATATTTTAATCAAATCGTAAAAAACAGATTTTTCCTTCGTTTTATTGAGTTAGATGGGAAAATAACAATTATAAACTAAATTTAAAAAAACGAAAACCAAATAGAGATATTATAAGTTAGTACAGACGTACTAAAGTTCTTCATAACCGGACCACATGTGTAGTCCAGCTCTATCTATACCCACAACACAGACTTTAGGGGCACCCAAAAATGATATTTCCTACCAAAACTCAAACTCGAAGGTTTGGACGAAAACAATGCTTTCTCAATACAAATTGACGAAAAAAATCAATGTCAATTAACAATTGTAAATTATAAACTATTACCAATAGCAACCTCACATTAACCCATGACTTTATACAGCCACGCTCAGAGATAGAAGCACAGACCGCTGCTACTACGGTGGGAAATCCTACAACGTAGGCTTCAACCTCACCAGTGCCATGGTGGAGTTTCATTCACCCTGTATACAGAGCTGCCAGTGTGTCAGGATGTACGAGGGGTGAGTTGTAGTCTTTAACATATTATACCATGACTTTATACAGCCACACTCGGTGATAGAAGTGCAGACCTCTGCTACTACGGTGGGAAATCCTACAACGTAGGCTTCAACCTCACCAATGCCATGGTGGAGTTTCATTCACCCTGTATACAGAGCTGCCAGTGTGTCAGGATGTACGAGGGGTGAGTTCTAGTCTTAAACACATTAAACCATGACTTTATACAGCCACGCTAGGAGATAGAAGTGCAGACCGCTGCTACTACGGTGGGAAATCCTACAACGTAGGCTTCAACCTCACCAAAGCCATGGTGGAGTTTCATTCACCCTGTATACAGAGCTGCCAGTGTGTCAGGATGTACGAGGGGTGAGTTATAGTCTTTAACATATTATACCATGACTTTATACAGCTACGCTCAGAGATAGAAACGCAGACCTCTGCTACTACGGTGGGAAATCCTACAACGTAGGCTTCAACCTCACCAATGCCATGGTGGAGTTTCATTCACCCTGTATACAGAGCTGCCAGTGTGTCAGGATGTACGAGGGGTGAGTTCTAGTCTTAAACACTCTAAACCATGACTTTATACAGCCACACTCGGAGACAGAAGTGCAGACCTCTGCTACTACGGTGGGAAATCCTACAACGTAGTGCCATGGTTCACACTCTGCTTTGTTTTGTACTTTTTCCAGGCATTTATGTACAGGCCTTTTAGGTCCAAGTGAGATAGTAAAAGCAAAGTAAAGGCATAGATTGTTAACCTCTTTGAAACACGTTAGTTTAATAATTGTTTTGGTTTTACACTTTTTATCATTGTTAACACTAAATTGGTAACTTGTTTTCTTCACACGTAAATAAATAAAATAAAGAGAAAAATGAAAGAACTTTGAACAGTACCCATTGATTTTTATGTCTCGATTGTTCAACGTAGAACAGAGTCGATATTATCAGGAAATTACAATCGTTACTAAACGCTCAAAGAATGGAAAAAATCTTTCAGAAATCCTTGCCTTAAACAGTGTGAAAATTTTGGCTCTATTTGGTTGTGGTTGGTGGTATTGTATACTGTTTGAGCTAAAATTATTTTTAAATGGAAATGTTACTGAAAGATGATATAGACAAGGTGATAAAATTGTTCGTAATACTAATAATGACGATGGATATATTAATTTTTCACTTTAAATTTGAACCAAATCGATTTAAATCAGTTTGCATCTTCATACACTGTTTCATGTTTATATATTTGGTGTCTGTGTGAACCTCTTAGATAAAATTTTATGTTTTGTTTAGAAAGTTTCTTTCGCTTGTGGGAATCACGCGAAGATACTAGCGACAAAACTGTACTTTGGTACTAGTAATAGTTTACAAATAAGTCGTGGAGCACTTTGCGGTAATTTCGCACAGGGTCTTCCTCCACCGAGAACGTTGTAGTTCTTGGGGGCAGTGTTGTACTTTACCCTAGACACTACTTAAGTGTACCATTGCATTTTTCCACTTTATGTATCTGTGACTAGTCTATCTTTTATATTCACCTCACACTCAATCGTAATTTTCCAAGTTTACGACATAACTATTTCCAACCCACCAATCAACTACTTGTAAATGTAGGTTTCTCCTACAACCCACTCATTATGTTATCACTAACTCCACCTCCGTTATTCTTCAGAGCTAGGTTCTACTGCTCCCACAACAACCGAAGGCCTAAAGTCTGTCCCGCACCTTCTGGATGTCGTCACTACAGCTTCCTCGAGGACTTCACTTGCTGCCAAAGAGGGGTCGTCAGCTGCAACAAAGGTAACATCATGAACACGTGATAAATATTAACTATGCGACTACGGAATCCAACGTGAATTAGGAAGTAAAATGAACTGCTAAAACGGCTATTCTTTCATTGAAATATACAGAATTAACAGAGGCTGTCAATCTCTAAACAACCATTTTCTTTTTTATTTGTAATTTTGTTGTGATTTGCTTGAGTCTATTTCGACTACCTACACTAACTTCCAATTAGAACACACGTTTAGGCAGAAACAACAAGTTGACTCCATACATTTATGTTATTTGTTTTCCAGTGTGTACGTTTTTATATGCAGATATTGTCTTTGTTTTGCACCATACGATTATATAAATATTTTTGTCAACAACTTGTTATAAGTATAATACAAAAGATTGGTTAGCACCATACCAATAAAAAAATCTACGTACTTTTTGTACAGTATTTATTTTTTTTTTTTGGAGCTAAACAATGAATTTTTTACGAAAACGTTTAGTTTTTAAATTTTTTTGTAATTATTAATTGTAGAGGTCAATAGGCCATACTTGTCCTTAGAAATGTAAGGAAATATAACAGGACCTGAAGACAATGAAAACGAGTTCTTGTTTAACTGAGCAAAAATTAATGGGATTCAAAATAGACTCTTTTTGTCATTATTATGATCTGTATTCTTACAACTATTATATTGTAACTAGTAAATTTATAAAACGTTTATTTCGTTAAAAGTTTGAAATTATAAATCATATTACAAATAAGAGGTCCCATATAGTTTTTTGTTTGATCTGAACAACTGTTTTCGTTGTTAGATGCATTACACATTAATATGTTAATATATTAATAAATTAAAACACAATTTACTGAATTTATTTTGCATAAATATTTATCTAATTGTTGTTTAAGGGGATATTTTATTTTATTGAAATATAAAATATGAAAAAATAATAATCAAAATAAATGTTTATCGACTAATAACTTGCATAGCTCACCTCAAGTCTTTTCCTCTAGGGATGTAGAGGTTTAATTTTCCATATTTCTTGAAACAACTACGATTTACTCGCATAAATCATAAAATATGTTGTAGGGAAGCCCGATAGTGTCAAGTGCGTACATGGAGGCTTGTCCTACAGCGAAGGAGAAAAGTTCTTTCCACACGATGACATCACATGTACTCAGTGTGTATGTGCTTCTGGGTATAATGGTAAGTATATGTTGCCGGTTAATAATAGTAAAAACAATCAAAACTATTACAGAACATACAATTTGTTATAGCCTGTAGTTGTTCTCGTACAAAGGTCATGGTGAGATGGTAGAGCACGAGGCTTCTTCCGTGAGGTCCCGGGTTCAAATCCCGCCAATCACCTGATGGATTTTATCTCAATTATAGTGCCTCGACCCTAGGGTTAGCTTAAAGTAATACGTAATGAAGGCTCCGGGGTAGAGCGAAGTCGGGATAAACATTTGTTAAAGTCGTAGTCTTTTTCTGATCTTCCCATTTTAGACTATATACAAAACTACATAAGAATATTCATCAAGTCATCGCATATTTAAGTCCATATACATCTTGGATACCAATGGATTCTGAAATTGTTTGTCTAATATGATGAATGATTCTACATAGATAAATGTGTCAAAGATGAACAGGAAATACAATAATAAGAACCTTTATTGTTAAAACTATTACTCAACTTAATGCGGGCAGTTCAAACTTCCGATGCAAAATTAGGGGTTTGAATTATTTACACCACTTTACTGTTTCGTAGAATATTTGTTAATTATGGCTGTAACAATTCTACTTGACTTCCTTGCAAATTTTCAAAAACCAAGGTTTTCTTAATTGGTTACAAACGACAAAACTTTTCTTGAAAAGAATGAAATTTATAAATATGTAAAACATGTTTCATTTTTTTGTTAGTTCTTTTCGCACGGTCATTTTAGTAGTTTGTTCCATTTGTCCATTTGTTGTAGGCACCATAGCACCGCCCTATTGCCAGCAGTTCGCCTGCGACCTAGAGTTGTGGGGTGACACCCCTATCATGCTAACTAGGGGTTGTATCCCCATGTACCTCAGTGAACATGGCTGCTGTCCTATCAGCTTTAGATGTCGTAAGTATTGTGGTTTCATTCATTCGTATTTAACACCATATATGCTTTCTAAGTAACAGGCAATCCAACCAAACTTAGTGGTTAAATTATATTATTTCAAGGTTTTAATTCATAGACCATCCAACTGGAATATTTTTTTAATTGTTTATGATAAAATAGTTTACTAGAAAAATTTTTTTGGTTAAGGTAATTTCTTAAAAATAATTGGGAGAGTATATAGGCTTAACCTTTTTATTGGAAAATACCCTTACCAATTTGGTACCTTTACGTTGACCAATTTGGATCTTAAGTGAAAATTACGACACATAAAATACACTATCGTGAAGAAATTCTCACCATAAACGTCCGTAAAAGCATACTTGTAAACGTTTTCTTTTAATATTTCATATGGTTTTTATTGAAAAGTTTTTTATTCTTATATCTTTATATAAGTCTTTCACACTATATTTGTTTTTATAATACGATATGTTTTAGCCTTTGATTACGAAATGGCATCATTTCGAGGAATTAATTCTCAGACCCAATAATTAAAATATTATTATCAACAATAATAATTACAATTATTATTTTTACAATGTTTGTAAAATTGTTTCAGCAAAACCGAGTGATCGGATCATCAAATCTAAAGAAGTCAGTGTCATAAAATCAGGTAAAACAATATATAAGATGGCTAAAACAATGAATAAACTAAGTGTAGATGAAAGTTTTAAACATTCGATGACATTTGTTATCTATGTTTAAAATATGAAATTGTTAGTGTGAGGCAATTTATTGCTACCCTGAAAACCTGTGCTATTTACATCCGGATTATAAAATTAGATTAATAATTCTTATTGCTTGTATTATATAAGAGATTGAAGACTTTTACCAAAGTTGAGTAAAGAAAAGTAAAGTTTAACTCGTGATTTCAAACCTACAACCCACCCCCATCACCAGGCTCTACTACAAAAAAGCCAGAATATGAGGAAAAACTCAAAAAATGGGGTTAAAGGAAGCAAAGATGAAAAATATCGAGAATCAAGACAAACCCAAAAAGAAAACTTGTCATCAGAAAAAGAAGGATCTCCCAACACCTGTGAGTGACCAATTTCAACATGCTGGGGAAATCTTGCTATCCATCTAACCCAGGAAATTGCATGGAGATTTTCAATAATTGTACATTTAAAAATTAGTAATGAATAATACATTCTATGATCTAGGTTCAAAAATAATGTTAACGTAATTTATGGTATAATGAAAGTGGTTACACAGTGCGACACAAATCTTAAGGTATCTTAAGGTTATGGTCAAGTCATGAGAAAAATATCTACCTTTCTGATGGGTAAACACTAAAATCTCTACTCAGAAATTCATATTAAATTGGAATTTTTTAGAAATGGTCCTAGCTCAAAATAATTTATATTAGGCCAGTAAAAAAACCAAGGTCTTAATAATTGAAACTAATCGGTAATGCATATTAAGGATAACATTAAGTCTTTGCTCATTACGAAAAAGATGGTATCGTTATGAAGCAGTGGTATCATGAAAAAGCATACTTGAAACTTGTTCACTGTATACTATTTGTCCAGCTAAATGTTTCCTATCTAAAATTCTCTCAAATGAGATATTTGGCAAAGATAGAACAGATCCAGAGCGGCTGAAGAAACCAAATAGATTAATATAGTAAAAGATCATACTCCCCTTTCCTCATATTATAGTTTACTTCAACCTCTGTTCCACTCTATCTGCACTAATGATCATTTCAATCTGTTTTACCCCAGGTAAACACTGCAGGTTCGGCAATCTGACGATGGACGTTGGTGACAAACTCTCCCCCTGGCTGGAGAGGAACACCAAGGAGGTCGAGTGTTCCTGCAGGGTTCCCCCCATGGCTTCGTGTGTCCGCCGGAACTTTACGATGACACCCGAACTTCGCCGAGAATTCGCACGAGAAGGACTCGAAAATAAGTCTTAGAAACTATAAATTGTTATATTTGCCGTAGGCTATGTTATTAAGTCATTTAGTCATGTTCTAATGTTAATAAGAGCTGTGCTGGAATATATATTGCTTCACTTGCACTTATATTTTGATTAAATTATTTTACTCCTTTAAATCTTTTTACTTGTAATATAAATTTACAATTTCAAATCATAGTATACAGTCGAATAAATGTTTCTGTTTGCAAAACATATTTTTACACACATGCTATATTGCATATGATACAATTTGTGAATTTTATTTTAGTTAATTCATAAATAAGTATGTTTCTCCAATAGTTGCTTAGATATCCATAGAGTGAATTAAATAATATTTATATTTGTAAGGACTCTATTGACGAAACTTCTATTCGAAAATTGTGCCACATCCTTTAAGCAATAATTTTTACTACGACGAATTTCAAACACAAAAACTAATTCTAAATCTACAGCATGAAATTTCTAACACTTTTATCCCGTAAGTTTGCAGATTGAAAGCTTTTCTGAAAGTTTTAGATTCACATCACAATTTATTTGAATGGCATAAAGTACATTAAATATGGTTGTTTTAAATTTATTGATGGTTGCTATAAAAATGCATATCTGTTCCAGCTATAAACTAAAGTGTTCAAAAATGTATTGCACCGTAAGTATAAAAAGGTACTATACTTTAAAAGTGACTTTAAATCAAGGCCAGTTTTGAAATGAGGAATTTCATTGTTGGATCCCGAACGTACTGAGCTTTATATATTTTTTTAATTTAGAACCATTTAATAGAATTGAACTACAATTTTTATCTGTTAAAATTATTTAGATTATCTAGGTTCTACTCAACATCTAATGAAAAATTTGCATATGAATACGACATTAACATAATTGCATCAATTGGTTTATTTGATATTTAATCATACACAGTCACAAAATATAAACACTTGGTTGTAAATTATTATTTCTCTGTGTAGTGTTTATTACAGGTGATTAATAAAGCTCACTTCAGCCAACTGTCTGGTCAGTTTGGAAGGACAATAGTGACTTCATATATTTCATTGATAAATGAACACGTCAACGTATAAATTCCGACATATTGTTTTGCAGCACAACTTTTTCGACTACATCTGTCAAATGCCACTTGTTTTTCGATAAATAATGGAAATAAAAAAAAAACTATTTTAAAAACGCATCACCAATAACACTTTTTATTTTCGGAATTTACTGATACCCAACTGGTAAGTGGTAAATCTACTGTTACCAAAGGTAATGAGGAATACTTTAATGTTTCTCATGATGTGGCCTATTTTTATTTTTTATCTCCTGTCTACGCCAGTGGCGTTTTTGTAATGAAATCAAACACTTTTAAGGGGAAGCGCTTTTAACAGAAAGTTGTAATGCTGTGAAAACTTACTATTCTCATTTAGGACTAGGTAAGGGTACCCTCACATAAACAACCCTTTTCCGTTTCTACCTACATCTATCCAAAATGAAAAAAAAAATGCAAAAAAAAAACATATTTGTAAAAACATAGCAGAATTTTGATACTTAATTACATCACAAGCTCCTTAATAAGATATAACTGATGCTTACATTGAAAAGAACAGATAATAAACTATACATATTGGCATTTTCGTCTCCTACCTTCATATAAAACTTCTCTGCAATGGTCATGAAATGAAAGGGAAACGAATTTCAACAAAACTCAAATGATGATTGTTCATTTACTTAAATGCTTTTGCAACCTTTTTGCATGCATGTAGATTGCCAGAATGCAAAATGTGTTGTTAAAAAAATAGATTTTTCAAGGGTATTTAAAAAAATTATATAATTTTTTGATCAGTGATTTCGTGTTTAATAAGAGCAATTTATTGTGTAATGACAAATCGCCAAAACTTATATCAAAAACAATTTTTTTTCAACCAGGCCTTTAATTTTATTGATTATGCTATTTGCAGATCAGTTCTTAATTTTGTATGTTTCTGTTTATTTATAAATGCCACCAAATACTTACATTTGGATTTATTACACAAGATTGTCTAAATGTAAATATAGTAATGGAAGCTTAATACAAACTTTTAACTTAGAGTTCATGCTGCTTTTCCTGCTACGAATTATCATAAAATATGATTAAAAGATATCCCAGAGACATTGAAAATGCAATATAAAACACAAGAAGGTTAAATGAAATTTTAACTAGTTTATATTCTCAGCGCAACTGTTGACTGTTGTCATGTTTAACAAGGATAATTACTTTACATAGCTTTATTCGTTTATGAACACAAATTTGATTTAGTAGCCGCATACAGTTCGGACTAAAAACATTGTTGTTTTATGATCTTGTGTAAAGAGCAATTTGTAATAATTCGTTCCAAATCACCAAACTTATTGTTTAAAAAATGTTAAAAACTTACATTTAGAAAAAAATATCAATGTTACACATGTTTTAGATCTAAATAGCTTAATTTAATTTGATTACTAGTAGTATTTTCATGTAGGTGTCACAACTAAACAGCTGATTTGATTTACTGCAAGTGCAGTAATTAAATATAAACAGATTGAACTATTAAAAAGTCATTTTTTTGACAATTTGATACTCTACTTTAGTGCCTTTGATTTTAGGGGTTATTGGAAGATCATAAATAAAAAAATTAGGAAAACTAATCTAACCCCTCAAGCGTTTCGGGCTTATTAAACAGTCCTGACAAATAAAATCACTCATAATTGGTAATTAAAAACTAATATCGTTCATTTGACACTCATCCGTATCGTAAATCCTTCTACGTCTAAAAATATGTATAAATATAAAGTTTAAGATTGTGTATAGTTGTCGATTTCCATCACACATTGATCCAACTAATATTATTCTATATATTTTCAATACTATATATAATAAACTTATATTATAAATTCTGTCAGTATCTTATCGCACATGTTCACGACTATTATTAAGTTGGCCAACGTTAGAAATCTCGCCATCTTAAAATCCAATATGCAATGATGAGATAATGCTTACCGCAGTCATAATCCTGTATGTAAATCTCACTCATCTTATTCTTTTTCTGAAAAACTGTAGACATTCGCGAATAGAATAAATCAAGTACCTTCTCTGCTTGATAAAAGATAATACTTTCTGGAATTTTACACCATTTACAGAAGAAGAATAAACAAAGAAATTCTGAATAATTCACAAGACGATGGTGATTCCACCAATGACGTCATCCTTTTTACATAAATTTGTAAACTCAAAATTCCTAAGATTGTTTTGTATTGTATACATTTTCCCTCTGCGTTAAGTGGAATATGATCCATATTAATTTAAGCTAGTTCTTGAGGAGGTTTGGCACTATCGTTTAGATAAAATCCATTGGGGATTGAAAGGATTTGAACCCGGGACCTCGAGGTACAAAGCCCAGTGTTCTTTCTCTAAACCGACTGGCTCCCCGATCGTTTAAGTGTGTAACTGGAATCTGTTAAGAGCGTTTTAGCGCACACGTGTCGTTTTTTATGTCGGCTATTTTCTCATAGTTTGTTTAATTTTGGGCAACGTATGTTTCATTATTTTATAGCGTTTATTTATGTTTTAAAGCTATTTTTGCTATAGGAAAATGTTAGTATTGTATCCGATACTGAAAAACAATTGTCACATCATAAGAAGGGATCTAAAACTCAAACTATCTCATAGATGGAATTTTTACCAAATATTTTCAAGTATTTGTCTCAGGAAGGATTAAAACTCAACTTTTGGGACAAAATAACTTCGTTTTGCTACTATTTACCAGCCACAAAATACTATTTCCTCTAAAAACCATTAAAATTTTTAAAAAATATAGTACATCAATTACTTACCTATTTATATTATATATCCATCCATAACTTTTTATTTTTTGAAATCAATTAAAATGTTTTTCGCTTAGTCTGGTAAAGCAGGGCACCTATTTATTTAAAAATTTTTGAAATTACCTGGCTGTAATTCACCGACCAAGTATCATCGAGAAGCAGGAAGCCAGCCTAATTGGACTTCCGGTCAGCTGATTGCGACCACGTGACTAGAGTATGAAAAACAAAATATCTTATTAGCCGACTTGTGTAGGGATTTGTGTTGGGGCTTGGCAACTTGATTGTGAATTCCAAACATGTTTAGGTGTCTAATTGAACACCAAAAACGTGCAATTTATCGAAATAACAGTAAATGAATCTATAAAAATAAGTATGCCCAAAATATAGGTTTAAGTATTTTATACTTACAACGAAAAAAAAAACAAAAAAGGATATTTTGAGATTAAAACAGTATTTAAATGTTCGTGAATTAAAAAGTGTTTTCTCCACGATAGATTTCTGCTCCACCTTTTTTTAAAACATTTTCTTAACTCTTTGCTTTTAGCACAGCAAACCATATGTTATTTGCAAGTAAAATTAAAGTTTACATGTGAAGAAAACTAACTGTCTTTAAAAATTGCAGTTTCACCTGCAAGAAAAATTGTTTTTAATTCCTTAACAATTTGTTTAGCATAACATTTATTTTATATGAAACGTCTGGGGCCCGGTTGAATTTAGAGATGTTAAGATAAATATACTTCGTAATATAAGCTACTTTATATTTTTACTCTTTGGCATTTTCAAATAACATTTGAGCGAATATTTTCCACATTCGAATCTTTGAATTGACCTATCAATAAATTTGAGCAAACATAATATTTCTCACTGAGAATTTGTACCATACAAATACATTTGTAAAACTTAAAAATTATATTATATATTTTTCGAAATGATTAGTAGAATATAGCTATTAATGTTATACACCAAACAAAAGAACAATCATATCAGCAAATTGTGAAAGGACTACAGGCAATGTTTTATTAGAGTGTCAAAAGCAAATGCACAATGCTCTTTTGTTACTGATACAAAAGCGAAATATTATCAGTGTTTCCCTGAAAACATAGATAACCTATGTATCCCTGTATCAAACATTTTGAGTTGTAAAAATGGAACCAGTAATAAAAAATACTGTTTAGTAATTATCTACATTAAACATGAGGAACACATATTTGTTCAAACTTTTGCTTAAATTGTCAATTTACAATTTTAAAACAGTGCTATAACAAGTAT